CCGATCTTGCTCATTTTCCAATCACTGCTTCAACTACAGAGATGTATCCTTTCCCCATTGTCTGTACCCCTCCCTTACTACCCCCACCCAATTTTCTGTAGTTTATTATATATTATATGTAATATAGAATATACATTTATGTATGTCTATCTATCAAGTTATATTCGTGTCCCCAAATGGTTCCCTGGTGCTTGGTTAACCTATCCATCATCATACTTTTAAAGAAAACTGACTGCCCCTCCCAGCAGCCTTCAGTTGCCAATAGTTCCTCAGGTACTATTGGGCTTCTTCTCTACTTCCTCACTTCTATGCTGGGATTTTGTCTGACTTGAACTTAGATGGGATTTGTGTATGCTGTCACCATTGTTGTGAGTTCATATGAGTAACTTCTCAGCTCTCTGGAAAACTCTGTTTCCCTGTGATCATCTACCATCTCTGGCTCTTACAATCTTTCTGCTCCCTTCCATACTGGTCTCTGAGCCTTAGGAGACAGAAGTTTGATATACATGTCCTATTCGGAAATAAGGACTCTGTAGTCTCCCACTCTCTTATTCTCTGCTAGTTGCCAGCTGTGGGTCTCTGTGTGAATCATCATCAGTTACATAAGGAAGTTTCTCTGATGAAAGTTGAGATATTATTAATCACTGATCTCAGGCCTAGGAATCTGTAGCTGGATAGGCTTGAGGGCCGAGTGTACCACTATTTTTCTGCTAAATAGACATAGTATTAACCAACTCCTAATGACATATTTTTAAACCCATAGTTCATCTTTACATTATTTATTTACTTATTTTATGAATAAGTGTTTTGCCTACATGTGTGCAAGTGCACTTATGTTGTGTAATGCCCATGGAAGCCAGAAGAAGGCGTTGTATTTCCTGGAACTGAAGCTCTGGGCAATTGTTAGGTGCCATGTAGACACTGGGAACTGAATCCAGGTTCTCACAAAGGCAGCCAGTGCCCTTAACTTCTGAGCTATCTCTTCAACAGCTGCTCCCCACCCCCATATTTCTAAAATATGAGATACTGGTCAAATAAAATTGGTTTATTAGGGGTGTACCGTACTTATTATATTTTTTTCCTTTACAAGGCACAGCATGGTGTCCTATAATTTGAGAAGTGTGTCAGGCACTTGACTTTTGAATAAACTAGACTATGGTATGTTAGTTTTGTCTGAAGTTGACTTGGTTTTTAAAAAAATACTTTATTTTACATGTATGAATGTACTACCTGCATGTATATAAGTGCACTGGGTCATGCAATGCCCATGGAGGACAGAAGAGGGTGTCAGATCCCCTAGAACTGGAGTTACAAATGGTTGTTAGACACCATGTGGGTGCTGGGAATTGAACCCAGGTCCTCTGCAAGAACAGCCATTACTCTTAACTGCTGAGCCTTCTCTCCAGCCCCTTAAGTTGACTTGTTCTATATATATCTTGCCTTAGTGACTATTAAAATTAGTTTTTGTAACTCCTTCAGGGGATGGCATGATAAGAATAGGAGGTAGGAATTGGCTAGGCAGTTAGGGTAAAAAGACCCTTTTCTTGGCTAAATGTCAAAATGTCCTTGGGCCTGTTAGCAACATACTCTGTTTCAAAGGCAAAAAATGTCAAAAGGTATTTGGGAGCCTGTATCTAATCCTTAAAAGACTTTAGGGTCACCTCTTCAGAGGGAGGAATGTTGGAGGGGAGGGAGTGGGCATGGATTTGATCAAAACACCTTATATGCATGTATGAAATTGTCAATAAGGTTTTTGTAAAAATTTTAAAAAATTAGTTTTTGTTTTTCTGAGTGTAAAAAAATGACTCAGATGTGTTCTATATGTCACAGGAACTTAATTTGGAATTAACTAATTGTAGATAGCTTGAGTATATGACAGTCAAAAATTAGTTTATCTTAAATGCTGTTGCATGAACTTTTGTTCTATGTGGAAGAAGTGGGTAGTTTGTATTGTTAAACACACACTTGGGTGCACTGGCTGAAGGGATGGTTCATTCAGTAATATGGTTGTCAGTACTGGGACCTGAGTTTAATCCCTAGAACATATGTAAAAATGCTGGGTATGGTGCTGTGTGCTTATAATCCCACTCCTGAGGAGGCAGGAACAGGAGCCTCCCTGAGGTTCCCTGGTCAACAAGGCTAGCCTAATTGGTGAGCCTAAGCCAATGGGAACCCTTGCTTCAGAAGAGTTCCACAGTGTTTCCAAAAAGAGGAATCAAGATTGACACACACACACACACACACACACACACACACATGCACACGTGCACACACACACACACACACACATACACACACACACATGAAAAATCACTTGGAAAATTAAGAGAGTTGGGTTTTTTTTGTTTTGTTTTCTTTTTCCCTTTCTCTTTTAGGCCAGAAATCACAGAGACCATCAACAGTAAATTTGCCAGTTCATAAGTCTATCCAAAAAGGTTCCAACTTTCTTTCACCCCCCTATTCTCGAGCAAGAAGTGCAGCTGCTCAGTCCCAATTCAGAGCTGCTTCAGAAATTTCAGAAATTGAATATGTTGACATCGCTGACCAGAATGAACCCTTCTTAGATAATGCTGCTGATCAACAAACTCTAGACAGTGTGGAGAAAGAATTAAATGTGCTGGGGAATCTTGAAGGTAAATGCTAATTTTGTCTTAAATAATGTTAACTCTGTCCTCTGTCTCAGCCTTCATATCTAAAATAACAAGTAAGCAAATAAAAAAGGTTTTACCTTTCCTTTAGAACCAAATCCCCTGTGTTTGTTCCTCTGGACATCCCCAGATACCATCCTGAAATCCTTATAAAGTACGTGGTTGCTAAACCACACCTTCATTTGGTTCCCCTGGCCGCTGGGCAGAGGGAGTGTTTTCTTCAACAGTGTGACACATGTTAGGGTTACCCATGCTCTAATGGATAACACCTATGAACCCATGGGAAGCAATATATGAACTCAGAGGTGGAGGAGGAGGAGGATCGGGGAGGAGCAGGAGGAGGAAGAGGAAGAGGAGGAGGAAGCAGAGGAGGAAGGGGAGGAGGAAGAGGATGTGAAGTTGAAAGGGTGAGAGTCAGGGGAGAGTTGAAGGGGAAAGTGGGTGATGAGTATAATCTAAATATACTGTGTTCATGTATGAACTTACTAAAGATTAAATAAAATTCAAAAAAGAACCTTCATGTGCACTGGAAAAGTCTTTTTTCCCATTTCTTCAAATGCAATGAAGAGTTAATCTCTGCAGCTTTGTGTAAGCTACTACCCAGCACCCTTGTGGGAAAATTGAGCTGTTAGAGCTTTTAAAGCAGTGTTTCTGAACTTTAAATGCATGCAAAGACCCTCTGGAATCTTCTTCAATTGTACAAGGAGACATGCATCTGCACATCTAACAAGCAGCCAGGCAATGCCCAGGCTGCTAGATAACAAGGCACTCACTGTATGAGGAAGAATTACACTTGTGCATCCTATTTCCAACCTCAGTAGCTATAGTGTCTGGCAAATGGCCACCCTATTCCTGAATGCAAGTGGCTGGGAGTAACAATCCTTCAGAGAAGCAATCCTCTTCCTTTCATCAGAAAGTCATTCACACAGATCGAAACCAACTGTAGATCAAGAGGCCAGGAAGTCTTGGTTCTGTGTGTTCCACACTTGTTCTCTGTTTTATTTTTTCCTATTAATGGTCCTCTTTCTGCTTTATTAACTTGGACAACTTGGCTACATTTCTAAAAGTGGTACAAATTTGTTTTGAAAACTTCAAGTAATACAAAGAACAAAAGAGCATGCCAAACAAACAACCCCCCAAAGAACAAAGGAAGCAAAAGCAGCACAAAATCGTACCTTTTTAAAACAAACATTATTCACTATAATGAGTACCATTTTAAACATGTTTGTGCACAGATAGTCAATATTTAGAAGGATGCTATATTACTTTAATTGGAGAATATATTTTCACTTACTCCAAAGAGAGAAGATAACCACAGAGGAAAGAGAACATTCCTCCCGAATCTGGCTTGGCAAAACTTTAAGTTTATTGAGGTTTCAAGCATAGCCCAGGTAGCTGCATCAAAGAAAAGCCCAACCCAGTGTGAGTGAAGACTTAAGTCTGTCACTGGAATTTACACTCAGCCTCCAGGCAGCTTCCTGGCCTATGCTCCCAACTCCATCCCTGAGCAATCCTTTATTACATATTTAAAGTTAAGGAGTCTTGTGAATTTCTTACCCCCGAGTGTTGTGACTTGTTGTGAGTTTCATGAGCTTCCAACTTCCAGGATGGAATGATTAGGTCCTGAGGTAAACATCTACACAGAGATGAACAGAATCCATTTAGTGGGGCCCTATATTTAAGGCTGTCCATTTGAGGCTAGATTATCTCTCAAAAAAAGAGAGGTGAACAAGTTGAAATAAGAAGGTAATATTAGTAATATTATAAAATAGATTTGTGCTAGTCTGCACATACTGTTAAATGTTAGAGAGACATACAGATATGATGGACATAACTGAATGAAAGTGTACATATAAAAAATATTTCATCAGAAAAATACTGCTGAATTAACTCTAGGAAATTACCCTCTCAAGACTGCAAACAGTAGAATATTGGCAATTTTATATTATTTATTATTCCTTCTATTTTTGTGCATATTTCTTTAATTTCTTTTGACATTTGTTAATCTCTACAGTAAAAGATGAGAAAGCATGCATTTGTTCACATCATAAAAACATTCCGATCTAGGCAGTAGGGAACATGTCTCACTAAGTTATAATTTATTACCTTGTTGAGATTAACAAATCTTTCTTTCTTGCTGAAGGAATCCTTTCATATGGATTAACTTCTCCATACTATACAGATTGCTTATCTTCAGTGTTTTGATTTATCTTGAGAAGACAGAATATGGTATCATTTTTTAACATTTTTATTGAGTTTTTATACATTTCATATAATAGAATTTAAACCAATTTCAATACCCTCCCCCACCTGCACTACCCCATCAGATTGCATATATTCTGTCATGTACGTAAAGTTCTTTGAGGACAAACATTTTTACACTGATGTCTTCAAGTGAAGTTCGTCCCCTGGAGTCTAGTCAGCCTTTCTAGAATCTCTCCCTTAAAGATCTACACTCCCTCACCCAGCATTAATCAGTTGCCAAGAGTTCCTAAGCTAGGGTTGGGGCCTGCTGCCCATTTCCCTTGTTCTATGCTGGGGTTTTTTCTTTTTGTTTGTTTTGTTTTGTTCTGTTTTTTGTCTGATTCTGTAGGCATGGGTCTTGTACATGCTGTCACCATCATTGCAAGTTCATATGAACAAGTTCCCAGTGACCTGAAAGCCTCTGTTTCCTTATGTTCATGAACCAACACTAGCTCTTAAAATCTTTCTGCCCCTCTTCTGTAATGGTTCCTGTTGAGGTTTAACGGAGCAGTCTCTTAGTCTCTAAAACTTAGCCAGCTGTGGCCTTCTGCATGTGGCCTTCTGCATGCACCAGTGTTGTATAAGGAAACTTTGCTGGTGAGAATTGAGGGATGCATTAGAATTCTCTCTACTTCCTGTTCTGCTGTGTTCCATGAGCCTTGTGTATAGAAGTTCCACTGTAGATGTGTCATTTAGGGCTGGGCATCTCTCAAATATACATTCTCTGTGTGTGACCAGTTGTGGAACTTTGTAATGGCCTCCATCTTTTGTGAAATAAACTTCTGGCCGGGCATGGTGGTGCAAGGTTTTAATCTCAGCACTAAGGAGGTAGAAGCAGGCAGGTCTCTGTGAGTTCAAGACTAGCCTGGTCTACATAGTGAATTCCAGGCCAGCTGGCACTACAGGGAGACCTTGTCTCAAAAGACCAAAAATGAAAGAAACTTCTTTGATAAATGGTATATAGTATACTTGTCTGATAATATAAGGGTCCATATTTAGGATACAGCAAGAAGTTTTATTTGTTTAGAGATATGACAGAAATAGGGTTTTCTCAAGGATCTATGACCTCTCCAGCCATGTGTATTAAGCTACATTTACAGTGACACCCATGACTCCCTCCCATTGAAAAGGCTTTAAGTCCAACTGGATAGCTGTTTATTACCCTCTAGGTAAAAGTACCACTACTGGGTAAGGAAAAGCTGATCTTCTTTAAGAGAGTGACTCTAGATAATCTGACTAGCCCCAAGTGTATGAACTTGGACTGAAGGATGTCAGGGGACTCATTAGGCCTTAACATAAATGATAAAATGCATGGAATCCATTGGGGGCCTATGGTAGGGTGCCTATGGGGAAGGGGGTACAAAACCATTAATATGTTGTGTTGTGCATGCAATGCACTATATATATAATACATATTATATA